GTACAAGTAAACCTAGTACTGGGAGGCATAGGCAAGAGGATCCCTGAGGCTTGCTGGGCAGCCTGCCTGGCAGAATCTGTGAGCTTCAGATTTAGTGAGAGACCCACTTAGAAATATGAAGTGGAGAAGTGATGGAAGATGATACTGGATGCTAGCGCTGGCATCACAGCTGCCATCTTGAATCCGAGACCAGTGTTCAACAGGAATGTTTGAACTCTCAAACTTCCACTTCTTCCCTCTCCGTTTCCCAGTTGGGAGAGCAAAGTCGGGAAAGCAGCAGCCTACCCAACTTCCAATTACAAAAAGTGAATTAGGAAGATGAGAAAAAGGATAGGATGCAAGAGGGACTTTTAAAACGGGCCAATAATTTCACATGACTCCCTTCACATGTTTTTAAGACTGAGAAAGTGAGGAAGGATGACTTGAATGTTAGTTTTCTCTTTTTTAAAAAAAAATATTTAAAATTTAATTCAGGGTTGCAAAACCTCAAACCTTTCATGTAAATTGTGAAATTAACATGAATTAACAGTTACCCATGGGTGCCAGGCATTATAAACAATGTTTTTTCCTTCTTTAGATCTCCCTGTATTTTGTAGTGTTCTGTATTATAACTTTCCTAAAAACATGTATTTATGTTCAATGAAAAACTAATGTGCTGTTTAGACACTATTTTTGACAGTCAGTGGATTGAATACAGGACCTTGTACATGCCAAAAGAACCAAGTATCTCTCTTCTAAGCAACATTCACAGACCCTGACACATTTAAGTAGAGGGTTTAATTGATAGGAAATCGTCTTGCTAAATACACAGTGAGATTTCAAACAGCCATCTCCATGGAAGGAAACTCAGCCCTTGCAGACCTTTTAAAAATACCATTAGATGAGGGAGGGTTACTTTGTGGCCATTTTTTTAAACTCCTGTTTCCTAAGAATCAAGAATAGTAACCCTGGTCAGACACTTAATACTATTTTGCACTTGACTCTACAGAATGGCAACAAGTTTCAAAACATGCCAGCTCTGATTGAAAGTGGGTTGCTGGAAGAGTACAGACCCTTCCCCTGCTCTTCTGTTTCAGCTGCATGCTGTTTTCAACATTCACAGTCAAAGCTGATCAGCCCGCCAAAACAATGTGAAAGGAGGCAAAAGCTGTGTTTGTTTTTCAGCCCGACTAGGCCTAGTTTAAGTGGGTACAGTTCCGGAAGATGTAAATTCTTTCTGGATGCAATAATGCAATAATCTGTTGGACTCAAGTGGCATTGCTTAAGTGTTGACTTATTTGATAATGCTTTAAAATTACATTTTTCATTTTCTGGCAGCAGGATTAGGTGGGTTTTATCTTACAAGAAGATACACACAGGAGGGCACAGTAGATGCTGATGTGGTGATGAAATTTTGTCAAAGTGTAATTTCCTGCTACTAAATCTCATGACAGGTGCATAACATTTCTGGGTTCAGAAGTTATTCCCCAGAGATGTGACTGGAGAGAATGTATGACAGAACATCACCACTTGATATTTGCACAGTGTCTTCTGTTGAGGAAATGTGTTGCATTTGGTTTCCACGTTATGCATAGGAGCAGTGAGCTCTTGGATTTGGAAAGTAGAGTGACCACATGGTATGGGTGACTGGTGTCTGCCAGTAGAGGCTGTGCAGATCAAGGACATTGCATGTACATATGGCTGTGCCGTCTTTGTTGTTGCTTACTGTGGTCTCTGTCATTACATTTATGTTTGTCAAAGATATTTATTGAATTGCATGATGGTGAGAATCCAGTGCGGTTATCCTTTTTTTTTTAAACATATTCCTAAATTCCAAAGACATATGCACCTAGAGCTTATTAGCTTTTCCTTTCCAGTACATTGGGTGTTGCAGGTTCAGTCTGTTTAGATTGCAAGAGTGTGGCGATAAGGATGTGGAAAGATGAACGTACGTCCCATAAAGCCTTGGAGAGGTCTGTCTGAAGTCTGTAATCTCTCCCTGATGTACAAAAAGAGTGAAAGCCTTTGAGCTTCAGTCTTGAAGCTCTCTGGCTTTAGATAATAAGTTATGGGGAATCATCAACCCTGCTTATTCGCCCCCCCCCTTTATTCACCATATTTGGCTATGAAAGCTTTTTTGGCTATGTCTAAAGATCAAATGTGCTTTCCAAGAGCTAAGACTGGCTGCTATAGAGACCATGGGAAAGACTATGCCTGAGATTGAGAAGGCAGTTGTGGAGAGAAAATGGAAACTTGAGAAGGCATCCCACAGGCACAGCTGCATACAATGGCTGCATGATCGGAATAAGTATGCTGCCTCCAAAAGGACCACAGCGAAGGACGGTTTTCACTGGCGTCGTCTGTGTCGTGACCTGGTGGCTACTTGTCTTTCTGTGCAGTCACAGGTTCACATCACTGTGCAAAGCCAGGCAGGTGTGCGCTTCAGACTCCCTCTGTTCCGTCCTTCCCACATCAACTCCCGTTTTCACTTTTCCCTGTACTTGTAAGTTGGCGACACCAGTAGGTGATACTTGTAGCTGAAGTGTGTGTTAATAGGTTTTATATCCAAGACTTTTTAAAGCAGTGGGCTATGACTTTGGGAAGAAGCTATTTGATGAAGGTATATGTTCTTCTTTTATTTCCTGCTTTTTGGACATGCTTATGTAAAGTTACAAAAGGGGCGCCTGGTGGTGCAAAGCAGTGCATTTAAGCATACAGCAAGGCCGTCTTTGTGTCTCCCCTCCCGGGGTCCCCTAGTCTCTGCCCTGTATACCCATGATGCAGTTTGGCACGTGTGATGATAAACCTGGGTACAGTTTGTTCCTAACCTAAGCTGTTCGTCAGCCTTCTGGAGGAGAGCCAGATATGAAATGAAAAACATGCTGTATGCCCTTCATTCCCCCACTCCCTCTGCATTGTATAGTTGGCAGTTTCTTTCCATAGGTTGTTTAATAGCGTGTGGCCCACCTCATTTTAGGCCCAGAGCTGTGAATCTCTGTCTAGCTCTCTCTTGATATTCTGATAGGAGTTCAGAAGAAATTGAAAAGTAAATGAGAACCCCAAAACTTGGCTGTGAGTATCATTGCCCAGCTGGGGTTGTTGGAAGGATGGCCTGGCCTTTTATCCCCATGAAGTAAATTCTATCTCACTGCAGTTAAAGGGAGCAACTCAGGACATTTTTATTTGTTTGTTTTTACTTTGGCATCTCTATGCTGGAGTCTTTATTAGTAAGTAAAAAGTAGCTTGTCTTTTAGAGGCAGAGTTAATATTTTAAAATAAATAGAAACCTCCTCATAAAATTAGAGTCTTTGTTTACCAAACTTGGACTTATCTGAAATCCAGTATGTAAATAGTAAATGTTAATGGATCAGAGTCATAACCAGCCCCTTAAAAAGGAGATAGAGGCTACGCTTGGGGGTACACACCTATAATCCCAACATTGGAAAGGATGAGGCAGGAGACTCATGAGTTCAAGGACATCCTGGGCTATGCAGCAAGACCCAGTCTCAAAAACAAAACTAGGGAGAGCCGAGGGAGAGAGGGAAAACAAGTTGTGTTGGTCAGTATTTATGCGTGTGAGTTTTAGAAAGCACTGTCCTCGTCCTTGTGTCTGCTGGACCTCGGCCTTATCTGGAAGCTTTGCCTTTGTTATCCCTGTAATTAGATAAAGACCTCCTGGACTGTTCATAGAGGTTTCCACCATGTACCTGCCCTAGATCTGGATATTTACCTCTGCATGTTCTTTACAGTCTTCGGCAGTCCTTCTTATGGCCTACCCATTGCTGGTCCCTTACCGCCCTGAGCCTTGTTCTATCATGTCTTCAATGGCAAGTCTGTGGCGTGCCTGCCCTTTGTTCGGCTCGCATTTGTTAAGCGCCTGCTACGTGGCAAGCCTTGTACAAACACTAGGGTGACAATCCCTGTTTCCACATCCCCGGATTATCCCTTTTCTTCCAAAGGCAGCCAAATGTGTCAGTGAGGTACTTAACTAATGTTCTTAGCTAGAAGCCCTCTTCCTCTCCTTTGTGCACCTAGAATGTTCCCTGTGTGCACCTGTTGTGAAATTCACCTGTTTGCTTCACATTCTGTCTATTTATAATGAAACTCTCCTGCCTTTCTGAGACTGCTAGAAGGCAAACTTCAGCATGATTTAACTCTGCATACTCCATGGCACTTAATGTAACCATTTTTCTCATTCAACAAGTATTTATGATAATCCATTCTGTTGCAGACTGTTCTGGGCACTCTATAAATATTGATAAGTATAGATTAAATTCTGAGTGCATGAAAAATAGGTACTGTCTGATGTAAAACTTGAAAGCAAGAGATGTTTTCAGGGGTTCATAAAGGGTCTCCTATCTGAAGGGGAATGACAGATAATGCCCCGCTGTGGTGAGCTTTCTTGAATTGCAGAGAAGAAATGTAATGCTTTTCCTCAATAAATTTCTATTACATCTAAATGGGAAGTTTGAGTGTAGACTCCAACTGTTCGTTGTGTTTTATAATTTTTTTTTTTTTTTTTTTTTGGTTTTTCGAGACAGGGTTTCTCTGTGTAGCTTTGCGCCTCTCCTGGAACTCACTTGGTAGCCCAGGCTGGCCTCGAACTCACAGAGATCCGCCTGGCTCTGCCTCCTGAGTGCTGGGATTAAAGGCGTGCGCCACCACCACCGCCCGGCCGTGTTTTATAATATTTTAAATGAGAACTAGAATGTACATTTTTGCTTCAAACATAACCCCAAAGAATTGCTAAAACTCTGAAATGTATGGATCACATTGGTTTGTTTGCTGTAGTATTGACTACTTTAGTTTGGGACTGCTGTAAATAAATACTTGCATTTTGAAAGAAAACTTATATACAGTGTGTTAGTTTTATGTAGGCGCACACTACTACTTATGCCAATAACATCACTTGATCTCATACAGTCTTCCTTCTGAAAGGGTTGAGCCTCCCATATTGTGATTGAATACACATTTTCAGGTGCCTGTGATAACGTATTTTTTTTTTCCCATTTCCTTTCCAGAATGAAGACCTAAATGACCTCAGAAAATCCTCCTTTAACTCTTGGGTACCCAGACTCAAACTATTTCACAATTCACAAGCAGGACCTCACGTCTTCCTCTTCAGTAGATGGTACGATGCATCCATTACAGTTTGTTTACTTTGTACAATCCTCAGGAGTTCATTGACGGAACTGCACGTTCCATATTGTGCCAAGCAACAAGAAAGCACTGTGACACTGGGATGATGAGTCTGCGTAAACTTCGTCTTGAACCTTAAGGACTTAGCTGGCCACGATGAGCTGGTGTGCCCACCATCATGCCGCAAGAGAATGGGTTTATTCTCGTCGCATCTACAATGTACGTTTCATCGACTCTGAAAGCGTGTTCCATGAAGCACCACTGTAAATTATTTCATACGGAACTGTTCACATTGGGTGGAGAGAGATTATTAAATATTTAACATAGGTTTTGATTTATATGTGTAATTTTTTAATGAAAATGTAACTTTCCTTACAGCACATCTTTTTTTTGGATGTGGAACTGAGGTATTCAGTGTTCTGTTGTAAAGAGTGGAGCAATGCTAAAAATGAGGCTAAAAAGAGTAGTCTAGGGTATGATCCTTGTTTTAAAATTCTAATTCAGAAAAATAATATAATAAGAATCATAGTGCCATAGAAGGTTCTGTACTGGATAGTTATACTTGCTGATACTGTCTCTTGTAATATAAACTTGATGTTGAGATGAGTTTCTTTTAAAACTTAATCTTAGGGTTTTTTTGTTTTGGTTTGTTTTTGGTTTTGTTTTTTGGGATTTTTTTTGTTTTTGTTTTTTTCAAAATGGAAGGAGGATGTATTATTCTACTGGGGTGTTTTCAATTGTCAGCTTAGAGTTGGTAATTGAATGGAAGCAAAATTGTAAGAAAAGGAAACCACAGGTTTTCATTGTATATACTGTAGAGAGAAGGAGACATGAGTGATCCCTTCAAGTCAAAAGCTCTCTTAGGAATGAAGAGTGTGGGTGTTTTTAAATTCTGGAAATGTCTTTCTGTTCATAATGAACTAGACACTGTTGATCTCCCCCTTCCCCACTCCTATAAGCTTTTTCCTCCCACCCCCACTATTTTTTCTGTGTACACATCATGTTTCATTTCATACATTGTCTTGAAAAGGCTGTTAGGACAAGTGTGTTCTTGCTAGCTGGAAATTAAAATTCCAGACTCACTCTTTCTTTCTTTCCTTCTTTCTTTCTTTCTTTCTTTCTTTCTTTCTTTCTTTCTTTCTTTCTTTCTTTCTTTCTTTCTTTCTTTCTTCCTTCCTTCCTTCCTTCCTTCCTTCCTTCCTTTCTTCTTCCCTCCCTCCCTCCTCCTTTCCTCCTGTCCTCCCTCTCTCCCTTCCTTCCTTCCTTCCTTTCTTTTTTAAGTCATAACCAGGGCTCTATGTTATGTTCCCTAAGACACCTATCTTATGTGTTTTAAGAACTTCCAGTGTTACATGTGTGTTTTAAATGAATGCAATTGGCCCATTTGCCCTGGTGTTTGCTGGCCTTTTAGTGGTTATCTAATAAAATGCAATTTATAGAGAGCACATAAAAACATAGTGACCTGCTGTTGAGGCATCTAGCCAGCAGTGAAAATATTAATCCCTTTCCTTGTTTGGAAAGTCTTGGACTTTTTCCCTTATCAAATAGAAATGGCAGTGAATATACCTAAAGATGTTTCCTCCAGAATTATAAGTTTTCTTGCCATGAAATTTCCTGAAAGGACAGTGAATTAATGCAGTGATCAGGCTCCCTGTGAGTCCCTATAAACTCAGCCCTGCTGTGGGGGAGGAGCAACTCTACTTCTGGGAAGGGTTGAGCTGCCAGGAAGGAGCAAGGATTGAAAGGCACTGCAGTGACCGTTGCCCTGATCTACTGGTTGGGGACCCTTTACTCTATTCAAAGAGATAAATAGACACCCCCCCCCCCCCCCCGACTGCTGAGGCCAGTGTTAGTGCTCAGTCAGCCAGATGGCAAGTACCTCACAGACTGTTGTACAGTGTTCATTGGTGCAGATCTTAATCATTTGCATGCTCATCAGTTTCTAAGGTAAATAGGTCTCTAGTCATAAGAATACGCTGTTTTCAAGGAACTCGCCGAATGACATCATTTGCTGTCAGTAGAAAACCCCACTGGCTTTGCAAATCTGATGTGAAAGTTGGTGTTTTTTGTTTTTGTTTTTTTTTTTTTTTACAAATGTGTAAGAAAAGACTCATTTATTTTTTAAGCATTCTGACTCAAACTTTTGCGAATGGAAGAAGAAAGCAAGCTGCTTTCTCTCTCCATGCAAAGATCTGAGTAACTCAAGAGAGAACAGTAAACAAAGTCAGCCCCCACCATTTGCCTGTAAAGGCGGCTATCATTTCTCCTGGAGCCTCGGTGGGGTTATTGACGTTTGGAGTGAGAAGAGAAAAGAACAGACTGGACAATCGTCTCCAAGTTTCTATATCTCTTGCTTTTTATTGAGTCAATCGTGCAAAGGTAGACATGCTTAGTTCAGCTTCTTCTAGAGTTACCTGAGCTGGGTTTGATGAAATGTAGCTGACTTGGAACTGGAAGTCGCTGGTACCCAGGCTGAATCCTCACGCTCTGCCTCCTTGAAGGGTTTACTTTAAATGCATCAGCTGCTAATTTCTTATGTTCAATTTCTATTTAAGGGAGTTGTCTTTTCTCTATTTCCGAGTATTTGCAGGCCAACCAAGGGCTTATGTTAATGGGGCTTCTAGTGACCTCTGACTTGTGTGGATGTTAGTGGCTTTTTCTTTATGAGACCAACCTTTCAGAGCGTTCTTTCTTAAAGACATGTTAAGACAGCGTTTAAAATTTTCCTTTGTGAAAAGAATAAGTATGTTCCCTGGCTATGATGATACCTTTGTTTTGGGCAAAAGTTTAGCTCTAGAACCAGCTGGAAATGAGGGGATTTCATTAATGTTCAACCACCTGGGTCAATAATGACAAATCAGGACTGATGCATGGCTATTTCTTGCTAACTTTCAAAGGTCAGGGCCACCCTTGACTAATCTAGCAACTACAAAAGTGGATCTGCTCAAGAATCATCTAGCCAGAAGTAGAGAGTTTTAGCCTGTCTTCCCTTGGCTTTCATCTTCTAGCTGTCTTTTATATGTGAGACAAAGTGTTAAGAAACAATTTCACTGTACTGTAAGAAACAATATTTTATAGTCCGGAAGCCCTATTGGATTCAACATCCTGAATGCAATAGACCATGTAGTTGGAAACATCTTTAAAACAGGTGACTTAAAGATAGGGAAAGGCGGCTCACCACGTGATGACAGTGAGAGCCATGAGGGATAGTACAGTTGTGATGTGCTGTGGCTGTGGGTGATGATGATACCATGTTTACCTCAAGATGCCTTGGCTGAGCTCTGTAGGTGAGATGGCCGTACAAAGAGGCCCTCTAACAAGATACCCGGACATTAACACCAACACTGGGGAGACAGGGCTTCTTTGGAAGGTATGTGGAGGACAACTGGGGGAAACAAATAAGAAATAGTTTCTTTGTAATGACAAGACAGGAGGGTTAGTGCTGCCAGGACAGGGTTATGTAGCAGGAAGTGATGCTATACTCATATGTACGGGCTGCTGAGAACTGTGTAGTAAGCAGGCTGTTCTTCCAGGGGTACAAGCAGGCACAACCTTGTCAGTCTGCAGGAGGACATCCAGGCTGGGCTGTGGGCTTAACTATGGAGAGCAAAGACAGTCTTCCTTGTAGTTAGTAGAACCAAGTGTTGAACACCGGGCCTTTGGTTAGCCCTGAGCCAAGCCTGAGATTGTGAAGGTTCTATTGGAGCTCTGTCCATTGGTGGTCTCCGTGTGCCTACAGAAAGTGTAGCTCAGCTGACGGGTTGGGTATCTGTCACTCACTACTTGCGATGAGCGCATCAAATAGATGCTGGAAGGAGACTGAGAGGTGCTGGAGGTGTTTGGCCCTACTCTTAATTAAGAGCCTATAATTAGCCAATATGATTTTAAATTGTATGACTTGGGTAAGGCGTTATCTCCCTTCCCTTGCTTATCAATGACTTGGCATTTGTGATGTCTACACCAAAAGACGGTGTGCTATCCCTTTGCCATTCACCTGCTATTTAAACCTCTCTTTGTTCATTTGCTGTCTCTTTCTCCAGTGTTAACCATTATGCCATATCATAGAACAAACTCACTACCCAGGAAAATGTGTCTGTTTGCATATCCATCTGTAGTGCTAGCATTTTTTTTTTTTAAAGTCCATTTTAGAACTTTGCCACTGGCCTAAGAATATAGTTTCCAGAATAATCTTTCTTGTGTAGTTACTTTCTTTATACCTCTTGGCTACAGGGTGGGCCAAATGAATGCCATCTAGCTTTCCATTTGCTATGTGTGGTTTGGTTTATCATCTAAAGATGGTGGTGCTATTGACGGTGCTACTTCATCTGTGTACAAAAGACCGACGCATGGTCTCTGTTGCTACCAAAACATTTACTGTATATATGTGTATAACGTATTATGTATATACGTAATGGGTACCAGGCCAGGTTTATATTTTTTTTTCTTTAGAAGTGTTTCACTTTTCTAAGCTTTCTTTATAGTGTTATGCTTGTGTTCAATGCTTTTTACCCCCAATTCTGTCTGGTACTTAGAACTGTAGTGTCTTCATCGTTAATTAAAGAAAACTGTCTAAATGAACCCACGGATGTGCGTAGTCGTCATTCTTTTTTTTAATTTTATTTTACAATACAATTCAGTTCTACATATCAGCCACGGATTCCTTTGTTCTCCTCCCTCCCACCCCCCTCCCCTTCCCCCCAGCCTACCCCCTATTCCCACCTCCTCCAGGGCAAAGCCTCCCCCGAGGACTGAGATAACCTGGTAGACTCAGTCCAGGCAAGTCCAGTCCCCTCCTCCCAGACCGAGCCAAGCGACCCTGCATAAGCCCCAGGTTTCAAACAGCCAACTCATGCAATGAGCACAGGACCCGGTCCCACTGCCTGGATGCCTCCCAAACAGATCAAGCCAATCAACTGTCTCACCCATTCAGAGGGCCTGATCCAGTTGGGGGCCCCTCAGCCATTGGTTCATAGTTCATGTGTTTCCATTTGTTTGGCCATTCTTATTGTCCTCCACTAGGGGACCTGGAACAGACATGGGTCACTGGTTGGGTATGGGCAGTTGACACTGTGACCATACTTCCGTAAGTGCTCATCAGGACAGGTAGTTTTCTATTTCTTTCTTGGACTGTTTTCAGTGGCCGAGTGTATTAAGCAAAAGAGCTCTAGAAAGATTTTTAGCTGCTTGATGGCTGGTGATACCAAAGGGATAAAAGAAATGAGGAGAGGAAAAGAATGTGTCTTCTGGGACACCGTTGTCAACCTTGAACCTGCACTCAGATCCCTCTGTTCAAATGGAGGTTATGGTCCCAGGAGCTGAATCACTTGTCCCAGTAGACAGATGACACTGAGAAGTGAGACAAAGATGCCTCTCAAACCTGGCTCCATATCATCTGGGCAGATTTCAAAAAGTAGCCATGGCTGGAACAACTCTAAAAATGATGGTCCACTGGCCCTCAGGGGCTGCTTTCCATGATCCCTGGGAGATGCTAGCAAACTGTCAGAGTGAGAACCTCTGCTGGGACTTGTTGCCTAAACTTGTCTGCTCATTAGAACTGCTTATTAGAAATATCTCCTGGAGTGCCAGACCTCTCCAGGAATGTGTACTCTTTTTTCCCCCCTTAGTATGTGGCTTTTCTGATGGGCAAGTTTGGGAAATCCTGATTTCTGTACAGATGGAAATTTTGGATTAATTTTGCCACTAGAAGGCTTAACAGCACTGTATTAGTTACTTTTCCATTGCTGGGATAAAACGTCATGACCAAGGCAAGTTAAGAGAAGGAAGAATTTGCTTGTGCTTATAGTTCCAGAGGGATAAAAGTCCATCACCATCCATCATGATGGAGAAGCATGGCACCTGGCAGACGTAGAAGATGGAGCAGCAAGGTGAGCGTTCACATGTTACTGAGAGAGTGCACACTGGGAATGTCCTGAGGATTTTAAACCTCAAAGCCCACCCCCAGTGACGTACTTTCTCCAACAAGACCAAACCTCCTCAGCCTCTTCAAATAGCACCGCCCATTCAGGACCAAGCATTCAAAGGTCTGAGCCTATGGGGACATTCTCCTTCAAACCACCACACACACAGATCTAGAACTTTGGGAGACAATTATCTGGGTTGCCAATGTCAAAGCAGCCAAGTCCTTTTCCCTGCTCCTTTGAGTATTCTTGCTTAAAAACATGAGAGAGAAGATCACTTTCATAGCTTGTTTGTCAGGGCTAACTCAAGCTACTGACTGACATGTTGGAAACAGATTCAAAGTTAAGTTTTTAAATGCATTAATGTTTTTTTTTTATGATCATGAGGCTCCAAAGACTTATTTGGTACAAAGGCTAGAGAGAGCTGCCTAACAGGATAATTGATATTTTCGTTGTTTAAAAGCAGCACACAAAATTGACTTAATACATGCTTGAAGTTGTAGTTGATCTTCATTTTATATTGCTTTCTTCCATTTATATTAAACAAAAAAACCAAAACAATTCCCTTGTAGTGGAATTGCAGAATAAATAGCACTTTATCTCCTATTGAAATCACATCTGAACATCACTAATTAGCATTAATTAGAGGAACGTCTAGTTGGAATGCATCAATGGTGTAATTTATAGCAGAATTGTCTTCTTACCTTTGCACACAAACAGGCAAAGTATAGTGAGTAAACTGTTGCCTACAAAGACCTTTGAGAAGTAATAGCCAAGAGAATTTGTAAGGAGCTCACTGATACTATTAAAATCAGTATCAGTGTTTATTATACACCAGGATTTGCATCAATTATCTGGTTTCCGACAACCCAGATCGAGACCAGGTATGTGTCTGGTCACAGGTTCTTGAGAGGTTGAACAACTTTCTCACTGAGCACTGTTTGCTGGCATGTTTTATGTTCTCACTGATAGCCTCCTAAACCTCTCATTTGCAGGTGCTTGAAAACTATGTTTCAAATATCGAAAACACTACTGAAATAGACTACAGTTCAGTGACAGAGTGCTTACCTAGTATGCAAGAGGCCCTGAGTTTGATCCCTAGTAAAACACACACACACACACACACACACACACACACACACCTCAGCGTTATTCCAACTGCCTTGTACTAATGACTTTGCAGAACAAATATCTGATTGCACTTGAGGTTAAAAATGCGGCTCTGTGCAGCATATAACTTGCAAGAGACAAGGTCTTGTTCTTTATGTCTAGTTTAGTCCATTCATGTCTATGGTAGTTTCTTGCTTCTCTTGCTTATCTCGCCTCTTTTTAGCAACAGAATAGAAACATCTGGCTTTATTTTAGGAAGGCTTAACAGCAGTGAGTTAAATGTGAAAGCTGCACGCAGTTTGAGCTGTGTTTGTGGGGATTGACTTTTACACATCACCTCCACTAAACCATCCTAAATGAGAACTATTGATATTGTCTGATAAGGGAACTGATAAATAGAAAAATAACCAATGCTGACAATGGGAAAAGTGGGGAGGCCGATGCCAGAGTCATCTGGGTTGGAGAATGAGTCCTTACCACTTGAGAATGGATGACTGATGCTCATCACAACTCAGAAATCTCTCTTCTCTGATAGATGACCAGTGCAGCTCAAGGCCTAAACTGGGAACAGCCATGATGGGATTCCCAGAATTATTATACAGATTTAACAAGGGCCACAGGAAACTCTGTTAATATCGAAGTGGTTTCCTAGCATCCACACATGTAAGGTAACCTGAACCCCAGTTTTATAGGAATGTGTTACTAGAGTTCATTAGACAATATCCTTTCTGTTCCTTCTGAGTGTAGGCTGCTCTGAATCTCAAAGACCAATGTCTCCCAATTGTAAAGTCAGAGAAGAGATTAAATAGTTGGAGTTCTTCATTGCCCTGATAACAAAGCTGATTTTTAAGATAAAAATCAGTTAAATCTACCTAAATTTATGAAGAAATTGAATGAAAATAAAGGTATCTGGAAGATCCATATACATCATTACACAATATTACAACACTTTAAAATACACAGATGCACATACACACAGACATGCGTACACACATGCCTACCCCTCATACACAAATGAAAGACTGTGTTCCAAAATACTAAGAATGAATATGTCCGATTGCGTTTTGTGTGGTTTTTCTGTAAAGTTTTGCAAAGATTAGATCTCACTTTTGTAGTGAGAAAGAAAAACAATAAAATATTTAAAATATAAAGGATGTTAGATGAGAATCTTATTAATGAATCCCCACAGTCTTAGCACCCCATGATCTACAAATCAGAGGTTGGCCACCTATGGATGGAAGTTTCAAATCCAGTCTGTTCAATATTTTTATTACCAAAGTTTCATTGGGGTGTAACTGTGCTAGTCCAATTACACAATGCCTGTACTATTCAGCAGCACGGTTGAGTGGCTATCACAGTCTCAATGGCCTATGAAGTACAGTACTTACTACCTGGCCCAATGTTTCTCAAGTGGGAGAACTGGGCTGTGAGGCAGCACCCCTGCCCTGGGCTTCTGAAATTCTCCAGCTCCTGTTATAAACACTGTTAGAGTAGATGCTGAATCTGTTGCCACAGTAACCACAGTTACTACATTGTTGGATGAAGTTCACAGTCCTTGATGCATCTCCACGCCATTGACTGGCGAAGACCCTTCCAAGCAGCTTTCTGTATAAACTAAAATACTACTTTATAGTTTGTCAAGTAACTCGAAGTGAAGTAGAGCTAAGACGGTGCTTCCGCTCGCTGCCTCAATATTTACAGAACAAAATATTTTAAATGGTAGAAATCAGTTAAAGGCTTTCTTTTCAAGTAGAGGTTGGATTTCCTTGAAGGCCAGGGTAACTTCAAAGGAGACCATGGCATCCAGAATAGGAAGACCTCAATAAAGATTAGGTATAAGCAACAGTTTGCTAACTTGCCACCAACTACAGAATTGAGGACAGGTGTATCCATTCTGGTTGGGGAGATATCTGGTTGCCTAGAGGATGAAGATAAAATATGTGAGGATTATTAAACAAACAAACAAACCATTGCTTTATTCTGGCATTAGATGAGACTGGAAGGGTAACTCCTCTGCATTTTCTCTACACTTCTATATTCAGTGTTGTAGAGGAGTTGCTGTAGGTGAGGTAGGAGATTTGTACCACAGAGAAACTGCTCTGTGGCTTTATTTTAAAGTCATGTTGATATCAGCTTAGCTAAAATGTATCCTGGCTGGGCGTGGTGGCACACGCCTTTAATCCCAGCACTCGGGAGGCAGAGGCAGATGGATCTCTGTGAGTTTGAGGCCAGCCTGGTCTACAGAGTGCGTTCCAGGATAGGCTCCAAAGCTACACAGAGAAACCCTGTCTCAAAAAACCAAAAACAACAAAAAAAAAATGTCTTCATGCCCTCCTCTCAGCCAGTTTTGGGGATACCTGCCTGGACCCAGTATAAAGCTAATATACGGATTTAAGAAGTCAACTTCTGGGAAGTTGCTAAAGTCAGTTAGATAACCAGCCAGATATAGAGAAGACAGATTCTTCACTAAAGGACCCAAAGGCTGAAATGAAGAAAAGTAGAGGAGGCATGACGGGAATGTCCTGCAGGAGATGTTTCCAGGGTCCAAAG